GGGGGGTGGGGGGGGCGCTAAATAAAAATGATCATATAAATATCCGTTCTCTTATAGAAATGAAATATGCACGCATATCCCGCCTCCAGTACACACGTGGCGGGACGAATTAAACCCCAATAGAACCAAACCAGTCCCTACCACACATTACAGGTATAATGTGTGTGGTAATCTAACTTGGATAGTTCCTTAAAGTTCTTAACGTCCGTCAAAACATTATAACCCAGACAATACATACATGTAGGTCAACCTGTACGGAATTACATTGTGCGTGGAACTTGAAATGATATATATTCTACGTTCATATCTATTTACGTATCAGGTTATTTCCAAGTACCTAAAATAGAACTAACGGCGAGATCCTGTACATATCAGAGAACATTTCAAAGTTGTTGTATTTGCTTAAATAATGTACTATCGCAAAAAATACCAACATGCACGATACACACCCATAAAAAAGACTTCATGTAAATGGCCGTCACATTTTCCAAAATAAGTGATGGACCAAATCAAAGTTATACTTAGTAGAAGGCCGGTCGATATTTAATGTATCAAATGTACAGCCGGCAAAAAAAGATGAAATCCACTGATCAATTGATATCATACTGGTGTGCTTTTAAATAGTTCTACATCCGTATATGAAGTACATACTTACAACAGTCAACACAAGGCTTTTAAGTTTCAGAGAGGCTCAATTAAGCTGTCAGTTTTATACTACTTACCATAAAGAGGACAATTACAAAAAACATCTTCATGAGTCCTCGAACCATGATGGTGCTCAACGGTGCGTCGGCATCACACAGTAACGTTGGTCTTGACAGCTAGGCTGATTTCTGAAATTTTAACAGAAATGATTTCTTCAGATTGACAAAATGTTAGATACCCTTTGTTACCAACTTTAGTTTTAGAATGCCTTATTATATTAGTTACAAAAACAACAATTTTAGGTGAAGAGAACTATTCGTTTATAATGCGTCTATTTTCGTATCAGGCTATTTCCATGAACCTAAAAAAAGAATAAACGGAGAAAAACACGACCATATCGCAGCCTCCCAAAACACACTCGCATACACTACGCGCATGCATCTTGCACACAGGGGATATCGTCCTTAATTGACCATAGCTGTTAATAGGACGTTCAACAAAATTAAACCAAACCAAACCAAAGTAGACGGCACAAAGGAAAATCCCAAATTATGCAGGTAAGCAGTGTATTAAGACTAAATGCTATTAATAGTTAAGGTAGTTTCCGCAAAATTGCTAAATTTAGAAAAAATAAAAATACTGCTTTGCAATGGATATAAATATAACAGATAAAAATAAACCTACACGCAACACGTATTTTGTATGGTATTTTAGTATAATCATGCAAGAAATTGAACCAAAACCTTCTCACGACATTGATTTCGTGAGATAAAACAGATAAACAATATAGCCGTAAGTACCAAGCTAATATACACACTTCGGCAATGAAAATTCAGCATTAGAATATTTTATGAATGGTTTTAATATAATCAACAGATTTGGTTATAGTAACATACCTGTCTAATAGTCAGTAGTGATACCTGTGACCGAAACCGGTTTAATTCCATTAGCGGCCTATGGCCCCATACGCTGGCAAAATGAAGTTCATCTGGCTCATGTTATATCACTCTTCTTCACACCTGAGGTGTGGTTGTTTGGTTGTTTCAATAGTTAATTTACACACATATTTCACTATCAATGAATTTTGTCTCGTTCACGTTATAATCCACTTCATCACACCTAGGGTTTGATTCTCTCAGTGGTTAAATTCACATGTTCCGAATGTATGACAATACACGTGAACGACACGTGGATCTATAAAAAGATTTCGGGGTCCCATTCGAACCTACCTAAATGGCTGACTGCCAACATTCTGTAGTTTTTTAATAACTTTAGTTTATGATCAATAGATGCCACTGTAAGACAACTGTCAACACGATAGGATTATACATTGTATCTATACACTATTGTGTAATACGGCTTGGTATCTAAACAAAAACACATTGTTGCAACGTTGCTATTTCTCTTAGACTTGCACAAGTCCGGTTTAGAGATATATTATGAGGGCAAAAATAAAAAAAACCCAAATACTGCATTTGTCGCCTTTTTACGATAATTCTTTCAATCCCCGGCCTGTAAATAAATAAAATGCTATCTTCATTGCTAGGGTCATGTGATTATATATATAGTTACGCATAAATGTAAAAGAACACCCATTAACGGTGGAAAACAGACAAATTATTTTCGTGTCTTTCGGCAAATACACCAACATACCATACCCAGTGTCTGGCACACATACACAACACACATGGAAACACGTCCTGAAATGACCTTAGTTGTTGATGGACGTTTAACCATATAATACAACCAAATTAATCTTGTGGACTGTATATATATCTACGGCAATACAAATGTACGTACTGTGAACGCAGATGAAAATAAATAACGCAGCCTTACCGGATACCAGCGCTCACGTACCAGGTAACGGGTACATTATTTGGTTCGGTTTTATCGGTTTAACGTCAAATCAACAGCTTAGGTCGTTTAAGGACGTGTTTGAGGAATGTGAATGAGGTGTGAAATTTCCACACAAAGTCTATTGGATACAAATAACACAGGTGAGTCCTGCGAAACAAGTAAAGGTTATTGCATGGTTTTCGAGTAATAAGGGATTTATTACACGCGAGCGAAGCGAGGGTCTAATAAGTCCCGAGTGACGAGAAATCATGCAATAACTGGCTTACTGCATGCTTCCCAACTCGAACAAAACAGAATAGTTGAGTAATAAATGTTCACCTGGACAATCTTTTTACCTACCCTACACTGCAGATAATTTACATGTACCTATGTGAGTGAGTACTAATCATAACCAGGTAAGATTCTCAGTAGCCCAGTCTGAGTGTATCCTTCATAATGGATACAAGTGTTTTTGGATTACTATCCAGGTCCAGTGTCAGGGAAGGTAAGGATTGCTGTTCAAAATACGGGAAACAATGTTGAATTTCCCAACTACATTTTCAGTTTAATTTTCAAGATGTGGCATAGGTACAGGATATTGAAACCATTTTCATATATACAATGTAAGGGTTTATCAATCCCTAAGGAATTCCAGTTCTTTCAATGAATGGTATATTTGAATGTGTAATTTTGTATAAAGGAACAGCTCCTTAAGATTATAAACTTTTCCGGGAAATGCTTATCCTCTCACGTGATAAGGAAATCTGTTTCTGTTTTTCAATCATGAAATTACTATTTTTAACTTTCATTTTTCCCCTCTTATTTTAAATGTGTCAACTAAGTTTATCCTATACTGTATTGACTTCATCGTTACTCACTGATTAAATTTTCCTAAGTAAGCCTAAGGTAAAACTTTTGAACGTATGTAATGCTTTCCTTTAAGTTCAGAAGAAATATTTTGCATGTACTATTAATAAAGAACAACAATAACAGTTAGTATGAATTTTATCAGTTTTTAATTTTGGAAATGGACTTCTAATCTATGACTCAAAATATATATTGTTTCATAATCCATGTAACAATACTAATGAAATGTCGGTCACATTTACTTGATAGATGCACAATATTAGTAACTAATCTGTTTTCGCCATTATGTTGAATGTTTATAACACATAAAAATATCCATAAATGAGATATCGTACCTTTGAAATCAAGACTTAATCCCTACATACATATCTGCATTTATACATGTTCACCTTGTACTGGCTAATCACATAAACTGCTTTTATTTAGATGACAGACAATCCACGGGGGACATAAAAGCTCTACAAAAAGGAAAAGACATGTTTCTGGCAGACTGGATTCAGGCTTGCTCCGTGCTGATCAAAGAACATGTTTACATGACTGGCATAGTTGGACCTGTCATGAAAAACAAGGTAACAATATAGAGTAGCTATGATTTATATTGATACAGTACTCACGTTGGACAATCATGCTATATTGTGGAGTGCAACTAAACTTGATGTTTGTTTTCTATGAAATGACAATAACAATTATTATAATTATGTAAACATGCATTGTATATATTACTACCATTTAACATGTACCGTCTATTATACTACACTAACAGGTACATTACAACTTCATGATGAAGATTGATAAACTGACAGGGGATCCTGTCAACACGCATTGTGAGTGCCCAGCAGGTAAAGGACCCCATGGTACATGTAAACACTTTGCTGCAGTACTGCTGATGTTGCAGCATAGCATTAACACTGGTGAGATACAAGTGGAGAAGTCATGCACAGAAAGCCTGCACACATTCCATAAACCAAAGTCTACCCAAAAAGGAATTATCGCTCACAACATTTATTTGATAATTCATTATATGAAGACAGAATGTGACTTCTGAAAAATATGAATAAAGAATACATATTATTCATCAGTAAGTGCCCAGGAGTATGTAACTTCTTGCTGGAGAGGATGTTTGGTAATTTGAAGGATTACTTTCCATTATCATTGTGTTGGCATCATTTGTGCAGCTGTGTAGACTTTTAATTGAAACAGGAAGCCAAAGGGGCCGTATTGTTCATCCGTTAATAGAATTACAGGAGTAAAGGTTATCATTTTGAAAAAATGTGGTTAAAATCTAAAATAAAAGTCAGTTATTCATATGAACACACTTGATAGCTTTCATCCCATCAAGCTACAGGACAAATAGCATCACTCTAGGTCCTTACGTTATTGAGAAGAAGTTATTCAATGTAACTTGAAAACGGCTGGACACAACACATCATCATATAAGCTCACACAAACACTTGCCAGGTAAACTTAAAGCATTTTAGAGATACTATTATTTCATAATAAAGGATATTGAGCTTTGACAAAATATAGATATAGTTTGAAATTATAATAAATATTCACTGAACATACTGAATTTTTATGCAGATTTACCTCACCTAAGTAAACCCTTTATCAATGTCAATCATTATTTCCATTGATTTAATTCTACATATATGTGTACTAGTCATCACAGGTACCTCTGTAGCTGCTAAAGAGTTGCCATCTAAAAGGAAAACCGGGGATGATTTTCTTGAGGACCCAATACCTCAGAAGCATCGCAACACAGAAGGTTATAATGACTTTGCAAGAAAATTCATCATCAAAAAATGTTCTGCAACATCTCAAGATGTTGCAATGCGATTCCTTTATAGAAGAGCAAACATACAGGTGAAGTTCCAATTTGGAAATGTTTGAAGTTAACATCTAGTAATCACAATAAGATTTAAGTACATAACATCGTTCTCTAATGCTTTTCAATAAAGATTTATCAATAGATTTCATTATTAACTGGTTTTAAAAATTCAAAAATGTTAATTCAAATGTTAAGCTGCATTTTTATTACTACCAGGAACATTTCATTCAAAATAAACAAGTCTTCAATTTCATATTTATATTTTTTTTTATGTTATTCTATATATCATTATTTGATATATCATCATCAAGTAGCTGCACTGGACCATGAGTATACACCCCTTCCTTTTACTGAATACTGGGTGGATTCAGCTGTTCAGGTAGCAACATTAACAATATAAGCTCATGGTTGTAATGTATGTCTATATGCAAGCTTTTGTTTGTTATCAATCTGCTTATTGTGGGATCATCTTTTCTACAGCATCATCAGGCATTTTTTGACACAAAAATGCAGATTTTATGATTGATCAATGCGTTATTTCACGAAATACTATTCTTTGAAACCATGTAATATACATGTATTGACAGTCGCCATGTTGTTAACCTTCATACGACTTAGTGTAATGTCTGTGTTTCCCGGAATAACAGAACAAACCATCCTGCTTTTATTGCGGGTATCTTTAAAGTGACCACAAATGTATTTGTAAAACATATATCAGCTTTGCAACCATGATAATGATGTAAAATATTCACACACAAACATTTTCACTTCTAGGTCACAGAAACGCAGGTTTCCATTAAGGAAATCTCAATACTTAAGTAGTTTTATACAAGCGGGGCCACAAGGATCCAGTCATCTTCCAAAATCTGGTACAAGGAGAGGGCAAGGCGACTGACAGCATCCAGATTTGGAGAAGTGTGTAAAATGACACACAGGTGAAACATTCAGAAACTCTGTTCTTCTTTACTAAATACAAACAAAACCTATTCAAAAGGGAATTCACATGGAAAAAACTATGAAGCTAAAGCTATGGCAGCTTTTGAGAAAAAAATGCAAATCAAAACAAAGAAAGCTGGATTTTTCATATATATACAAAACACATTCTTGGGTGCAACACCTGATGCTATCATTGACCACAACTATATTGTGGAAGTGAAATGTCCATACAATGGTCGCAATGAAAAAAATAAACCTGGGACAAATTTTGGTTTCTTGATGTACAATGAACAGGGAAATATTGTCGTATAAAACAACTGTAATTACCCTTACCAAGTTCAAGGTCAACAATTTTGCGATTTTTTTTAATACACTTTTTGTGACTTGTTTGTGCAGAAGATAGAACTTGAACATGATTCCAAAATTAGAATTGTTCTATTCCAAATACTTCAGACCTTTCATTGCATCAACTCTTTGCACTTGGTGTGTATATTGTAGCCATGTACACACATGATAAGTTGTGATAACATCACATCTGAGCTGTAGTATACAGAATCATGCCTATTTATCAACAATACAGTTTCTAAAATTTGATATTGCAAAGCATACAAAGACAATACGTGATCCCAACTGCAACTTACTTTGAGGCTTTTACTTTTTCAAAATGTTAAAGCCTTTGCTTAAACGAATGATACGCTCAATATGTATACGCTTTGATGCTACTCTTCTGTCATGAACAACTTCCTCAGGATCCAGCTGTGATTTTCCTTTCATCATTGTTGGTGTA